CTTCTTTGCCAAGTTGTAACGAAGTGTATTTACGATATAACACTTTGAGTGCTATATAAAAAAATTAATTGGTAAAAATATTTTGTTTGTTACGGGATGTTTATACCAGGGCGACAGAGCCTAACAGAAGTAAGACGTGACAATATCATCACCTGATTACCGAGGCAGCGTGAAGCGGAACATTGCTTCACTGACTCTTGATCGCTGACAAATTACCGCTTACCTATAAGGGCTAATCGGATTGGTGTACAGTCGGTAACAAAAGTGTTAATAAGAATTTACGATTTTTTTTAAATTTTTAAGTAGTTTATATTTTTAGCTTAATATTATAAATGCATTACTGAGGTTATATTTGTAAGTATATGTTTTTTAATTGTCTAAGACACAAGCTAGATTAGAATAGCTTCTTATAATAAATTACCTAAAAATAGCTTAAATCATAATAAAAAATTTAATAGCATGAATTCAAATCTTACATTTATTATAATAAATTATTTGGAACAAAGCAAATATAAAAAAAGATGACAAAGTATTGCTTTAAAAATGTAAATGTGTAGTTTTTCAAAATTAAACGATTATTACATTGAATTGAACCTTTAAAACAACGCTAAAGAAACATTTTTAATAATTAAATCTGTTATGTTTCAGCTTAGTTTTTACACAATCTATAAATAGTAGCAAATGTGTATTTTATTCCCGATATAGTTTGCTAGCCGGTTCTTCATATACATGTTTTTCTAAAGCCTTCTGAAGCCTCGTTACCTCCATATTATGCGACTTGTAGACTTGTCTAGCGTGTATCACAGTACTTATAGTATTATATGAAAATAACGTTCCTTTTTAAACAATTTTAGAAAAAGAAGAAAAACAATTCCAAGACTGATAAGGGGTAGGCAGTACGGATTCGTATTTAACATAATTCTGTCTTCAAACACTTTTTTTGTTACTTTACATACAATGAGGTACTTAAATACAATCCCTTAATTTTAAATGATAATAATTTTTAAAAATTGTTCGTTATTTCTTAGTCATTCAAAAATGTCTTATCTTTTGTTTTCTTCTTTAGTTCCTTTAGATATTTCAGTATTTAAGCATAGACAGCTGTCACTTTCCCCTTACTTTGTTAACAAGATGGTACAGATATGCACAAAAGTGTCAGCGTCACGTCTAGCGTGGCTCGACCTTGACCTTTGGTGCGGGAGATGCAACGCATTTGCATATAAACGCAAGCCCACGCCGATGCGATTATCGCGAACTGGTTTCTATAGACTACGCCGGATCGCGACTGGTTCCGACGACGTATGGACGCGTTCGAAAGTCCTTTTGTTACAATGTTTCTTTTTTTAAACTGACCATTTTGTAATTTGGAAGTATTTAGTGACCAGTTGCATTACTTAATATGGTTTCTTACAAGAATTCATTTTTTGGGGCCAGCAAATGGAGTATTTAGTTTAGAATTAATACTCCTGATTTTTTTTATAATTATTCTGAAGCAGATGCTTCATTGTTCATATTTGTCAAATATTTCTTTATTTCATAGATGACTAATCCCATATAATGCTTGAATTTTGATATGACTCGGCAACTCTTTAACAATTTCAATAGTTAACTTTAACTCTTCATTCTTTAGTAAGTTATAACCCAACTTAAACTTTTTTCTGATGCTAATACAAAAGTCATTAAAGTTAGTATTAATATTCGAATATTAAGCGATGACAAAAAACGTATGAATTAAATCCGTAGTTAATCGTAAATAAGCTTATAGTTTTGAAAATACATTTAATATAATAAAAGTCCTGTATAATATTAATTTTATACGTGTCGTGCGCGAGTGTACTCGTTTCGCGGTAAAGGGCGATTGGTGTTTGGTGGTCAATAAAAATATTTATAATGTATTTGTTAATAATTATACATCGTTTTATGTTTCGCTCGTGTTATAGAGTTTTTGTTAGTCCGAACGCACTAACAAAATAATATTGATAAGTCAATTTGTTGAAAAATACCTCAGTGTATTTTTCACATACTAGTTGCGACCGTAACTCCGTATTGTCAGAAATTAAGACTTTCCATTTGATGCGGTCCTGGTACATTCTTTCGTTACTTATCTTACTAATATTATAAACACAAAAGCTTTGATGGATGGATGTTTGTTACATCGTGATGAAATTTAGCATAGATGTAGAACATAATCTTGAAGAACACGTAGACTTACTTATTCAGTTTTTTTTACGCGCTGACGGTGTCGCGGGTGACAGTTAATACATAAATCTACACGTAATACACTAGTTGAGGGCATAATATTTTAAAATAGTAATAAAGAATTGCTTGTTTATGCTTTTTAAAGTAAATGTTTTAACCATTTAGGAAGATAAAGTTTAGTATGATCTTTATTTAGACATTATTAGTTAGAAATTTAGCGCGAATTGCGCGTTTTTGTTACTAAGTCAAGTGTCAGAATGATTAGTGAGGGGACGTAAACGTTGACAATTTAGTAAGGCTAGTGTTGTGCCAGTACATCGGACAGTGTTGGTTTTTTTTCCTAACAGATCTTAAAGTCTGGAATTAAAGTATATGAAATAAATTATTTCAAATTAATTGTTTTGATTCTGTCATATATCTAATTTATTGGTATATAATCTACTAAACTAGTGCGTACAATCCTTCGATCACTTAGCTACTATCAAGTGGGTTTGTGGTCAAGCACTGGTTTATTCAATTAAAAAAAACAGTTGAACACGACTTCAATAAAAAGCTTAAGGGTCTTTTCGTGAACCATAATCTTAACACAAGTATCACCTTTATTAAAATGATTAAAATAATTTTTAAAGTAATTCTTAAATATAGTAATAAAAATTGTTTTTGACGAGCGCGCTTGAATATATTTTTTGTGCTTAAAAGTTAATTTGTGATAAATTGCTACATACATCTTGTATCTTTAAATGAGCAATTCTTGTATATACATAATTGGAATCTCGGAATCGGCTCCAACGATTTTCATAAAATTTAGTATATAGGGGGTTTCGGGGACGATAAATCGATCTAGCTAGGAATCATTTCTAGAAAATGTCATTTTATTCGTGTTTTATCAATAATCAACTTAAACATAAACTTAACTTTTTCTATCGGTATTATGGAAAAATATTATTCATATTTCATCATTTTATTAGTAATTCGTACTTAAATATAATTTCCAAAAAACACAATTCGAAAAAAAAAAATACCGAGCAAAGCTTGGTCATCCAGGTACTTATATTTATGAGAACAAGATTTCTAGTGAATATAGATTGAATTTATAAATAAATTTAACATAAATAATTGGAAAATATATTCATAGTTATAAATAATTACTAAACAAACATAATAAAAGCTTTCAATAAAAATCAATTGATTTGTTATGAGATTTATAATTTGTCACTCTAATAAATATATTTAAATTATTGTATTTTATTTTATAATAAAAATATTTTTTTATTTCATCATCAGCCCACTATCGAGAGGCTCGGAGCCTATCCTAAGTTAAGATGATTAGGCCATAGTCAACCACGCTGGCCAAGTGCGGGTTTGACTTCACACATATCTTTAAATTTCTTCTCAGATATGCAGCATCACGATGTTTTCCTTCACCGTAAGAACGTCGGGTAAATGTACATATGTAAGTCAGAAATCTAAAAACACATTGGTACATGGCGGGATTCGAACCCATGACTGCAGATTACAAGTCAAGTGCTTGACCACTGAGCCACCGACGTTCTATAAAAAATATTTTTATTTAATTCTGTTTAATTATGTGACGTAAGCTGCCTTGAAGTTGGTTTCTGATAGCAGAAACTCTGTATAAAACATATCATCCTTGTCATTATCTTTGACATAATAGAGATAATAATATGTTCGAAACAGAGATATAGTTCTCAGAAACCATCGGTTAATACCTAATTGAAAAAATAAAATAGATTTAAAAATCCTTAGTAATTAGTTATCGTAAAAAAGACGTGTTAAGTTTTGTTAAAAGTTAAACTTAGCGTTATTAAGCTTAACTAATTTTCATTACAATATCCTGAACTTTTAGTTTAATCTTCTTCAAATTAACTTAATTGTTTTCCTTAATTTATCCTTTCTTAACTTATAAGATATGTTCGTTTTATTTAACGAATTGTTAAATTGTACGCAATTGCGTGAAATTTTCTTACAGACGACTTAAAGTTGCTCTCAATTCTTTAAAATACGCATACGAACGAATTATAATATATTCAATGATACGTTATTTACTAATAAATAGCCTTTATTAGTCAAAAGGTTTTATTTTTTAAATTTGCTTTTGTTCAATAAAAAGCGCGCCATGTCGTTTATTAATAATTAATAAAGAAACTTTGATAAATTCATTATCAATTATTCTTTTAATTATTCTCACTTGAATACGTTTACTTTATTTAATAATTTTAATTTAGATTCAAATTGGAAATCGTAAATTGAAATATCCGCAAACGCCGACGGCGCGGTGCATTCGTTTTTAACCGCTAAAAATTCTTTTGCAATTTTGACCTTTAAATGTCTTGATTTTTTAATTTAATTTTGTTTGTTTAAAGTTTTTCCCATTGTTTCAATTATTTTTTTTGTATAATTCTAATAATAATTAATTCAATTAATAAAATAAAAAAAATTATAATGCCAATTAAAATTGTCGTCTATGAAGGGTTTTTTAAACAATATTGGAGTTTTGTATTTTTAAAAAAATATTCTTCACTCAAATCTGAGCCCGCCAATTGTTACTTAATTTGTGTTTAAAATTATAATAATTATATTATTTTTGTTAACATAATTTATTATTAAATTGCTTTTTATTTCATAAAATTTAACAAGATTAAAAAATCTCTCTTATTAAATTTAGAATAGCTTCATTTTGTTAAGTAAAAAAACCGGTTATTTTTAAACGCTAATTAATGATTATTTCTGATTAAATATACAATAATATTATATGTACATAGTAAATATATTGTACTGACCTGTGTGACAATAATCTTCTAGATAGTGCCTCGCCGCGCGCTGCACTATCGAGTAGTAAAGGCTGACAGAAGATGCAAGCGCCATCCTTACTTCTCTTCTTTATTCCTCTTAAATTTTAATGTCCCAAGTCCGTCAGTGTTTGTACGCCTCTAGAGTTGGTTATGGTTTCAATCAAAACAAATCAACGAGAACATATAATTAAACAACTGGTTTAGTTTGTGACGAAATTATAACAATGAAAAAATAATTAAAATCATATGATGTGTATAAAACTGAATAGAATAATGCTATTTTGAACTGCGTTTAGTTGCGGTTTTAAAGAAAATTTTGCCGAACGGAATTTATTTTATTTGACGAAATACCACGGTGTTTTTGCATTTTTTTATTGTTTTTTTTGTTGTTGTATAGTCCAAAGTCACAATTTGTCGTACACTAGGTGCCGCATCTTTACCGCCGTCCAAAACTCTACGCGAAATCAAACACGTAAGTCAAAATAATATAAACTTGTGGAGGCAAGCGGCCCACGCCGCGTCTACAACGACACTGGCGCTCAACGGACGTTTTTTTGCTTCCCCTTCTAGCGGGAGGACTGAAACGTACGGACGGATAAAACCTAACGTTTTCATGTTATAAATTCATTTTTTTAACAATTTTTTTATTGAAATATTTTCTATTTTCCAATTGTAATTTTATTTGAGAAATTTTCTTATTCTATTAAGAATATATTCTTATTGAAAAATTACTTCAAGAATCTTAAAAAATACAGTTTTTATAAAACATAATAATAATATTAAAAAATATAATGTGTGTTTAATTCTCTTAAATGGTTAATTAATAGGCAAGTTAATAATTAAATAATAGTTTTTTTTTGATTCTTATTAGATTCTAATTGGTGAAACAGTTTAGGAAATGGCGACGGAGAGGAAAGGCGGGAAAATAAGTTTCCCGCCAAACAGCCCCGAGACATGCGTACGGAAAGTGATGTTGATGTTTGCTTTTTTTTTACGCTTAGGGACCGTATTTAATGACTGCCAGTATTACACATTGATCTTTTTTTTTACAATTCTTACGAAACAAAAGACAATCGTATTTAATTACTGTGGCTGTAGGTTTTTATTGAATAAAAATTTTTAATTTTTGTAATTAATGAAAAAAAAAATTGTTAAATCGAACGTATCATAGAAAGATAATTATTATGCAAATATAGTACATATTGTTTAAATTAATAAGTAAAATGTACTTATTTCGATGTTGTATTGAAGAGCTTTCCCAATTAATTTGTTATATATTGAACAGAGTGATATTGTACAGGCTTATCGGTCGTCCGGACGTAATCATTGGCGGTGTCGCAATTATGATGAAACCCTTTAAAAACGATTCGCGTAAAATGATGGAAAAAAAAAAATGAGAAAAATGTTCATCAACGCGACACGACTCTCCCCCCGGTCCCCTTCCCCTTGCGCCCCGGGCGGCGGGGGGTGCGAGTGGGACGGAGCTATACATGTACAAGCTTGTCTGTCGTTGCATCTCGCGCCACCGAGCTTCATACGAAAACTACCCGCGCTGCGCACCTTTGTTTCCGAACCGAAACGGCGTCTGCCCCTCACAATACAAGCAATTATACACCTAATGCTGTATTCTTAGAGTTCAAATTTGTCGATCGATCGAAGGGTATGTTCCGTGTTTCCGAGCCCTGCTGAAGTTTCGGAGTCTTGCAACTGTGGGCAGAAATATACATCACACGCTAAGTTTAGCCTGCGTAGCGACGCGATGCACTCACCCACACGTACGCAGCTTCCTTGTGATTTGTGTATGTGTGCGTGGGTACCATACTGTGTGCTTACAAAAGTTCGTATTGAAGTTTTCGGTAGACTTTCTTTGTGTCGGTGATTTTTTTCGCGGTATTGTATATGTGTGCGCGGGTCAGTCGGATTTTTTTCAAGTTTTTCTGTACGCACACAAGTATATTTTGTTTGTACGAGGTGTTGCAATGGTGTGGGTGGGAAGTTCTTTGTGCCCAGGGATTGTAAAAAATGTCGTATTGGATTCGAGCTGCGCTAATGAATGATAGATAGAGATTGGTACTTGCATCATCTAAAATCTGATGTGGGATTTTGTTCGATGGTTTTTATACGCTTTTCTCTCTTTGCTGTACGTACGAATCGCATGAAAGGCGATACGTGATTTGCATATGCATTAGTGCAGAATTATGCTCAACGCCCGCAATTGTAAACTATTTTTATAAAAGAATACATCACCGCGTTTGTTTTTTGGATGACCTAGATTTCTTAACAAACATTTGTATCAAATGTTATTTTAATAATATTTTTCATTTTGATTAATTTAACAGTGGTAGAGCCCGCTTTAACATCTTCGCACGAATCGGCCCGGCTCGCCCGGTGAAATACCACGACCACACAGAAGACAGGCGTGAAGTGGAAGCAATTCCGCGTTTTGTCTGATGAGTGTGTGTCCCGGAGGCCTAATTTAGTCCTCTTTCCCTTCCCACCCTTTTTCTTATAAGGGAAGGATGGGAAGCGGAAGTGGACTTTCCGGATGAGAGGATGCATGGGGAGGGATAATATTTTATTTCTGTGCATCCTCTCCTCCGTCGATTAAAGTAACGCATATGCAATTGCGTATCTCTATGGGCAACGGTCACTTCGCTATTTCAGCGATTTTAGGTGGCCGCTCGGTCGTTTGCCACCATGTGTTATAAAAAAAAAAAATATGTCACAAATATTACGCTCAAAAAACATAACGAAATTAAAATACGACGTGTGTATTTTGGTGGATAGAAATAGAATTTTCATTGGAACAAGTTTATTACGTTTAAACAAGACTATTTTTCCTCGATAAATACATTAAGTTATTAAGCTTGTTACAAGAAAAAAAACCTACATAAAACTACTTCCTGACAACTCTCACCTTTTAGCTAAAAACGTAATAATGTATGCATTATGTAAAGTTGCCGCAAAACAAATCCGGAGATACCGCGAGCTCTACAATTTGGTAGAATGTTACTTTTCACTTTTACTGACCAGATTAAGATGACCTATGAAACAAGTTCATATACACAAGATAACCTAACTTTATTGAATCTTAGTCTATACTTGAATTATAATTTTCTAATAAGAATAAAGTATATTAACTTTAATAATAAGCAATCTGCTGATACATAGACTGATTATTGTTAAGAAAACGAGAATAATTTGAACTTAAAAGATGGAAGAGGTTTTCAATTTGGATATACTTTTTGTAAATAATTTCTGAAGTCAAACACAAGTCTATCCTATAGGGTTTCTATAGTAGTGGATACGTTATAAGTTATCGTCAGCTCCCTAAATGCCCCCACGGTGGGTCTTGAAGCCTACCTAAAGTTAGGGGTGATTAGGCCATAATCAACCACACTGGACAGTGCGGGTTGACATCACACATATCTTTGAATTTTTTTGCAGTTATGTTATATTTAGCTGTCGCCTGCGACTCCGTATTCACGATATTTTAAAAAAAAAACTTACTAAATAGCCTCTATGTTCTTCTATGTTCTACATCTATGCCAAATTTCACAATGATCCATCCATCCATCTAAACATTCGCATCTATAATATTAGTAGCATAAAAGTTTATTTTTGAAATTGGCAGAAAACAGCAAAAGCCTTTGCCTCCGAGACAAATTTATAATATTTTTATATTCATAAATGACAGTTCACAGTTATCTGGTCAGTTTTGACTTGTGTGCGTTTAAGAAAAGCCACTCAAATTAATGATATGCATTAGATCGCGTTATTAATCTTCCAAATACTACGTTATTAGTGAGAGGGGGATAAAAAATATCTGTAGAGAAAAAAAATAAAGGAAAAGAGGTCAATAACTGGACCGAGAGCACGGTAGTCGGTAGTCGTAGTTTAGTTGAGTGTGCACAGGGAACGGTAATTCTGGAACAACCGTTACAAAATATTAGATTTTTTTCTACATAGTTAAACTATATTTTTTATATGGTTCGGACAATATTGTTAATAAGTGACCTTTATATAAAAAAAATGTTTTTTTATTTAATCAAATGAGAAGGCAACTATATTCATGTAATATAGGTGATATACCAGCATAGCCGATAGGAAGAGTAGATTGGACACTGGACAGACTGAATCAGTGTGATTAAACATTAAGGTATTAGAAAAAAGCACAGTAAAATATTATTGGGAAAGTAAATATAGTAAGTGGCATAATAAATGTATAAAAATGTGTTATCAGTCTACTTTAAGATAAAAAAAAATATATGCATTATTTTAATTTCTCTATGTCCACTATGTCTGCCTTGTGTACACGGCGCACTCCGCGTATGTAAACACTTTGAGATCAAGACGTGGACAATACGTTGTTATTGGCTAAGTATGGACCTTCCATGTTTAAACTGTTATTTAAATAATAGAGACGCGAAAGAATGGAATAGTTAATTGGAAGACTATACTAGAGATAGACCGAGAAATGCTGGACTAAGCCAAGATTCATAAAGGCCTCTACAGCCCTTTATGAATCTACAACTAGAAGATGTTCGAATTATAAATAAGTTAAGACAAGTCTTATGGTATTGCGACACGGAAAAAAATTAAATTGTAATAAATTCAATCACATTATTATTATTACATATTTTAATGATTTAGGGAGAATAATAAGCTAGTAAAGTGAGCATAAATAACATATTATTATTAGGTAATCTATTTTAAACAATGAATCAATAGTGTTTATAGTTGAATTAAATTTCAAATTCAACTAGAAATTACCATGTACTATCCTGTCTATAATAATCCAAGGTGAGATCAAAAGAAAATATGTATATTAATCCATATTATTCTTTCGTTAAGTATTGAGTGTAAAGATGTAATTACGTCGTCAGCGGCTTCCAAAAGACTCAGCAAATGACTCTTAGCTCAATTAGCTGAGCACAACTCGGCTCAGCTATGCACAGCTCAGTCCTCCAACTCATCGTTGATTTGCAAACTCATTTGCATCGTACGACATTACATCCCTATGTTAACTATTGGTACATTTTGGGTTTGGAAAATAGAACTGACGAAGGTTTTTAAGTGATTTACGTCCGAGTCCAATAATCTATACGCTTATAAATATTAAAAGTGTGTTAAGTTAGAGTGTCTGTATGTAATATCAAGAAAAAATAATATTTCGTACACATGACGTATTTGATAATAACGAAAAACCAATTTTTATCTTCGTGTCTGTTTGTATATCTGTCGTGTTCGTTTGTTTCGCGTAATATCCGGTACGGCTGGACCGATTGACAAAACTTTGAAGTAATAGCGGACATATTTTTTTAAGTACACGCAATGTATACATGTCAAGCTGTCTTACTAATATTGCGAATGTTTGGATAGATGGATGGATGGATGGACGTTTGAAAGTATCTTCAGAACGGCTACATGAATCTCGTTAAAATTTGGTATAGATAAAGAATATAGTCTGCAAAAACACATAGGCTACTCATTAAGTTTTTTTTTAACTGTGCGCG